AAGCTCTTACCCGTGCTCTACCTGAAGCACAGGGCCAATGGCTTTGTGATGATGAGCATCGACTTCAAGGATGCCTTCCTCACGGTGGACCAACGACAACGATTTTTCACTCCGTGAACGCACGTGGTGAGAAAGAGATGCGCCTTGGGAAAGTCCTACCTGGACAGCGAGACGGAAGTTTACTCTGGTATGAATCATGACCAACTACGTCAGGACCGAGCTGGACATGTACCCGTCTCTCCTCAAGAATGACGACCAGACCTGCTTCATGCTGGTGCACGTGGACGACGTCCTGGTGGTATGCTCTCGCTGATCCCAATACTGGAGAAGCAATACTCGATCTCAGTTTCAACCATGGACAAGCCCGGAGACGAGCTGACCTTTCTGAAGGGAACTCATACCCTGAAGGATAACATGATGCTGATTCAACCACATCCCAAGCACTTCGCACAGCTCTACGAGATTGTGGGCATCGCTGGCAAGCACACCAAGAAGTCCCCAGGACATGCGGAAATGGATGCGCCAGACAACTCCAAAGAGTTGGACTCTGACCAGGCAACGCAGTTCAGGCGAGCGGTTGGCATTCTCATGTACCTGATGGCAGACCTTCCCCAATGTCAACATTGTATCAGATTGTTGGCAACATACATGAGCAAGCCTACAGGCAAAGCCTGGATGATTCTCAAACATCTCGTCATGTACCTGGCTGGCGCCGAACATTTGGTGGTGAGCCTCAACTTCGTTGATGCGCAAACTGGACTACATCATTCATATGGCCATGACAGGGACCCAGTCCTGGAGGTGTTCACAGATGCCGATTGGGCATCATCTCGAGAGAACAGACGAAGCATCAGTTCTGTTTGTCTGATGTTTGGAGGAGCTCTGTTGCACTCGTGCTCCAGAACGCAAAAGATAGTAGCTTTGAGCTCTGCTGAGAGTGAACTCTACGCAGCGTCCTCGGGAGCTTGCGATGGATGTCTGATGAAGAAGATTTTGGAATGGATTCTGAAAGTCCCCAAAGTCAGGATGATCCTGTATATGGATTCCTCCGCGGCCCGAGCTGTGATTGCTCGGAAAGGGGTCGGAAAGATTCGGCGCCTCAGCTGCCGAGTATACTTTGGTTTCAACAACACCTCTCCACAGGCCAGATGGAGGTGGCGCCTGTGCCTGGACCCAAGAATCCTGCAGATCTAGGCGCCAAGAGATTGAGCCACAAACGGCTGGTAAGCCTGATGAGAATGATTGGCTTCTACGACATGGACAACGACCATTTGTTGACCGACGACACCATACTCCGCGAGGAAGCGCGGCAGTTGAACCAAAGCGCAGTCCGCGCTTTGAACGCCTTGAGCCTACTCAGTGGCATGGCGCTCCAAGGGTGCCAAGATGGAGGACAACGTGAAGATGGCAATGGAAGCAGCGATAAGCTTCATGTGGGAAACATGGAGGGTTACACTCTTCCAGATTGGCGTTGCAATGCTTGGCATCATCGGGATGATCCTCTACAAGAAGTTCATTCGTCGTGGACAACTTGCAGAAGAAGCTTTTCATGAAGCTCTACTTGAAGAACAAAGCCGACGTGAGGAAGTTCCACAACTTCATCGAGAACCTCATGAACCAGAAGAACACGGACTACCTCATCGATACCCTCAGGATGAAGAACCGTATCCTCGCGACTATGATGACATGTTAGTCGATGAAGAGCCCTTCAACGTGTTTGGTGTCAACGCAGCCAGTAGACCTGCGCCCAGCAGCTTCGCACCAAGGCCTACAAGTGCGCAAGCCCTTCATGGTGATGAAGAACTTGCAGAGGAGGATAACCTCGCAGAAGACGACAATGACAGTATGAGCGTCGACGCGGAGCAGATCCTGGACTTTGGTGAGCATGAAGATGACTTCATCAACCTCACTGAGGAAGAGTACGACAGCTACAGGACAAGACTTCTTGTGGAAGTCCGTGGCGTCGAGCAATACCTGATCAAGCTCAACCGGAAAGTGAGAAGGGAGATGGAAGACCTTGATCCCAGGAACGTTTTCTATGAGGACATCAGGAGTCAGATGATAAGTGGCCTCAGGGAGATCATGGCGATGCAAAGAGATGTCATGAACGAAGGCCAAGCAACACGTGCCCGTGTGATTCGCTTCTTGCACGCCAGGCACCGCTACACCCATAACCACCCACCTGGTGACAGTGATGCAAGCATGGATCAAACCTCCGACCCAGAAGGCCACGCAGCAGTCACCTACGGATGGGCAAGCGACAACACTCCATCAAGCTGTGAGGAACACGCCATGGAGATCGCTCCTGCTGGAGCGAGTGGTGCAGCTGATGGAAGCTGATGATGCAGCTGAGCGCTGTGCAGCTGCTGAACTGTTTCACTAAGACTTGTGGAAAGCTTTGTCACTTGAGAAAACTCAGTGACTACAGCTTTGGCGGGGTGAAACAATTCTCCGCTATATGTCATGACAAGCATGGCAGTTGGAAACATGTTTCACTTGAGAGATGATTCTCATAAGATCGCCGCGTAGGCGTTCGGCTTTGAAAAAAGTTTCAATAGGTCAAGTCTATCCCAGTCTACTTCCTTCTCACACCTCCAACAAAAAACGCATTCTTTTTCTTGTTTCAACATGCAGAGCCTCACAACTGCAGAAACTTGACATATTTACTTCTTGCCTGTCGAAGTGAAATTTGTGCCAATGATTTGGGTTATTTGCATCTGGAACTACAAATCATTTCCGAATCAAAAACAACACAATCCTTCAACAACTTCCCCAAAAGCATCGGCTTGCCAACCGATGGGTGCAAGCGCCTGTGCAGAAGCAACCACTTGCAGGTGACCGTGGTTTCCTCATCTGCGAAGTCAATGAGAGCACCCCGAAGTACTGGTAACAACTGTTGTTTGCTTCAAGATCTTGCAAGATTGAGCGAACAAGATTGGAGTTGGTAACAGCAAGTCTGCATCACGGTTGAGAAGCAGAATCTGGTTTGTGAGGCATAGGTTTTTAGACTCACCGACTCACCAAAATGTAATTTCTTGGTGCAGGGTGGAGATTCCGACTGATGCATGCAGCAGCAGTACAAGCCCACCAGTCGTGCAAGAGTCCAGAACTTGGACCTGGGCCACAGTTGTTGGGTTCGAATGATCGGGCGTTTCGTTGTGTTCCTTCATATCCAACCTCCATCACACAGTGAGTTACTCAGAGCCTCAAAACATTTCTCAGGTCAACGATGCTCGCCAGATGCCGGGACGACAGAGTGGATGCAGGGACGACAGGATCCTCAACGATCAAAGCAGGGGGTCGGTAGATTTGCCTGCAAGCAAATGCCTTACTGGTGGAAAACGCGGTCCTTGCGGTTTGAGGCGCTCGCGGTGAGATTCCCATTCCGGAAGATGGTGTACTCGATTGCTTTTGCGAGCAGGCCTGCATGCAAGGGTACCGAAGTGGCCAATCTTTTCCTCTCTCACTGTGCTTTCACAGAGAGCGCAAACTCTGTGAACCATCGAGTGTCTCTGTGTGCAGCCGTGTGGAGCAACTGCACTTGCTCGCTTGGGATGTTGGGCAAACTGACAGTCTGAAGGATCCAGCGCCTGCCCGCTTCCAAGTCAGTCACAGTCACAGCACTCAATGAGCGCCATGATTCATTTATTTTGAATTTTGTGTATAATTTATGTAGAATCTTGATGAAGTTACACACCCCCCATCCTCTTCTCGAGACTGATTTTCAGGATGCGCCGTTGAAAGAATATACCTTTGTCATGGACAAGTCAGACATGCCCAACTCCGTTGCAGAGGAGTTTGCCCTTGTCAATGGGGCCATCAAGGCATATTATATATACACAGATCAGATATGGATATGCGCTTACACAAGATAGTTGGTAAGTTTGATCTCATGAGCGCTTGCACGTACGCTCTATGTCACCCTCAAGGCAGTTCGCAGACTCGACAGGCTCCAAGGCTCCAAGTAGTGAAAGCCAGGAGCAGCGGGGAAATTTGTCCCATCGCAGCTGTGCATCAGATTTGGAGCGCCGTGTGCCTTGGCGCTAGTGATCCCATCACTTGATCATGATCCAAATGACCATGTTGCTTGAACCCCTGGTAAGACACTCGGAGATTGACCATGTGATACAGGCTGAGTTCTACGATCACAAGGAGAAGGCCTGTAGTTGTTTTCTTGGGAAGAGATAAGTGTATAACAGGTCGATTTTGCACCATTGTGCCTTCGTGTGCCGGCAAACATGTTCGCGTGTTGTTTGCTGGATTTGCTGGCCATCCTGCATCCCGTAGGTTGAGCAACGCCGGCGGGAGAGGCCGGGATGAGTGGAACCGTGATCCTTGAGCCACTTGGGTCCTTTTTGTGCCAATGATTCGGGCCGCTGATTGAGTTGGCCTTTGACTGTGACAGCTTTTGCAGATCCACCCTCAATGGGAAGGATCCGGCCAGCAACTCAAAGGTCATTCTTGACCCTCTAGCATTGTGGACGGCTCGCTATTTGAGAGATCAACGTCATTTCGCTTGATGATATCCGCCCCGAAGTCCCCAAACGGCTGCCAGTCCGTCCTGATTTGTTGTACGTGTCCAACTCCTGAACTGGGACAATCATGACATTACAATTGAGGGTGCCCTCGCTAGTAGGTTGGTAGGTTGGAGGCCAACGCTAGTAGGTTGGAGGCCACCTCTAGTAGGTTGGAGGCCATCGCCAGTAGGATGGAGGCCATTGATGGCAGCACGTAACGGAGCTGTCATGTGTGCAGCTCAGGTGCGAACCAAAGCAGCTCGGGTTTTGGAGCTGCAAGAGCAATACAGGAGTTTAGGAGTGAACGTGGTTCACAAGTGAGGGCTACTGGGCCAGGTATGCATCACCCTGTCTCGAGTCCGGCAATGGCCGGCACAGAAAAGGGGCATGCGTCATCCGAAGGAAAAGTCTTGCTTGGGTCATGGGTAGGTGCATCTGGCACATTCTTGATTTTGATGGCACCATGGCATCTTAGTTGCACGTTTCGCAGCAACACTCCGCTTTCAAGCCTTTCAAGATTTGTGCAGTGGAGTGGCCATGAGCGAGTGCATGACGTTGGTGCGCTGGCTATGTCTTTGTATCTTATTTTTTGTCCAACTGTCCCTGCTTGCCAGGCCTATGTTGTGAAGGCCGAGACCAAATTTGGACAGACAATCAAAGTTGTCGGGTCCAAGGAGGAGCCATCCCGGCTACTTACAGTTTTTTTTTTTGCAGAGTAAGATTGTGCAACTGTGCCAGGCTTGGCAACTGGAACGTCCAGCGGGCTCCGTCGCTGTCGACCGACGTGCGACTTGCATGTTTATAGGTCTTCATGGCAACTGTTTCATATCGGGATCACTGGCCAGGCGACGGAGTACCCGAAGTGGTCCGGAACGTTGCCATGCACAGTTGTGGGGTCCCAAGAGTTTGTCTTGTCAGGGGTCACTGGGCCGGTGCCACAGCGCCCGTGCGTGAGCAGAGAAATATAAAACAGACACAAGAGCCTCGGTGGATGCAGAAAAGGCATCGAAGCCCCGCCAACGAAAGTTAGCTCCCACCAGGTCAGAGACCAATCTCCACAGCAGGGCTCCAGTGGGGTGGTCGAAGGGATTCCCAAGCAGGTCAGTAAGTCCACTGCAGACACACGCTTCAAGCCATTCCGGAAGAAGCAGGAAACATGCAATAATTAGTAACGTATGCAGTAATTAGTCAAGTAGAGGGTGAGTCGCCCTTGACAGCATCGAGCAAAGACCGGCACCACTAACCATACTCGCGAGGATCCATCAATACTTTTGACATGTCTACCTGCAGGGAGAGCTGGAATTCAAGTTCGTCAAAGTTGCAGAGAACGGTGATGCTGAGTGGGAGGATGGCCTGAGACTCAGTGTGGACAAAGGTGGACTTGACTTTGCTTGTTGTAGCGTGCTCTCGTGCCCACTTCTTGATCACCCAGCCACCGAGCCGCCCACCCACTCATCAGGAAAGAACAGGTCCATCAAGATCTCTGAAGATGGAGACATCGTCATTCCGAATGGATCGGCAACGTCGGGGAGCTGAGAACTTAGGACCTAGGATAAACCACCTAGTTGACCTATAGTAGCAATGGCCTCCAACCTAGTAACGATAGCCTCCAACCTATATAATAGGAGTGCGATGGCCTCCAACCTAATGGCGAGGGAAAGGTATGAAGCACCTTTTCCTGAAGGCCAAACACCATGACGTTTGGACACACGGAGGAAACAAATGCTCCGAGGCAGGGCTTGTTTGCGAAAACGAGACTCCCCAAGCCGTATGATGTGGTCTGCAGGCTGGCATCCGGCGGCAGCCGGAAGACGTCCTTCTCGGACGAGGTGGAGGAAGTGGCCAGGAACTTGGTTGGTTGGAAGTTCCTGTGGTTTTGCGCCCGTTTGCGATGCACTTGTTTTGTCACCAAGCAGCGAATTCGTTTGTGTGAGACTGCAATTGAACGTGCTCAATTCGTGAAAAGACACAAACCGCAGTGCGCTCTATTCCGTCGCTCCATTTTCCACAACTTTGACCAACTCGCACCGGCAATCCGTCCAGTCGAAAACCAATTGATTGGCCAAGGCGGTGCCCGTGCCAATCACTCCAAAAACCAAAGTACCAACTTCCCTGCTTGGCTGGGGGGCTTGGTGCAATGTAGTGTCGCGTCGATGGACGCCATTGGATCATTCACCTTGTTACTACTAGCAGCGATGCCCTTGTTGCTAGTAGCGATGCCCTAGCTACTTGTAGCGATGCCCTTGTTACTATTTTTTTGGATGACTTCTTTGCTCCACACTCAGATGAATCAGATGAGCTGCACTTTAATGTCGCTCGGTCCCTGGAGTGACTGACTTGCCACATGAGCTTGTGACGGAGCGTATTGCTGATCGCGCAAGTGGGATCCAGTATATGTGCGATCCAGCCAGGTATGCTCCATCACAGGGATTGGAGATGCGGTGTCGGTGGTGGGCTCGTGTCCGGAGCAACTCGGCTGAAAACCCAGCATCCGTCTTAGCAACTGTAGACTATTGTAGACTAGTTGACTAGTTGTCAATCCAGGATATTAGCTGCCAAAAGACAAGCACACTCTTGTTTTGGGAGGGGCGGAAAGTCTTCCCTTTTCGGTTCCCTCTTTAGTTCCATTGTCCAACCCAGAGAATCGAACGTATGTCACAGTTCCGTTTCAACGAGCTGCTGTCAAAAGAAGGTAATTGCTAGGTTTATCCTCCGTTATCGTCTATTTTGAGGAGACCCGCCCCATGCCCTTACAGACCCACCCGCAAAGATATTAGACTAAAACACGCGACTGGGTCCATGGAACAGTCCATGGTTTCAACTTTCAACAGAATTCCAAAACTTACGGACTAGTTTGCGGAAAGTACTGAAAACATCTTGCTCGTGTGAGCCCAATTGCAAAAACAGGTTTCAAACACCGTGGCCAGAACCTCCATGGGCAACCAATGTTCTTTGTTTTTTCCCCAAGGTCTTGAACCACTTCGGGAAACGCTTCGGAAGCCGCGACGCCGTTGTTTTTTTCGAAACGTGAGCCAAGGCTGGGAAACTGGGATGTGCGGCGAGGCTAGTGGGACGTTTCAGATAAGGTTGTACCAGCCAAACAGAATCGTAAACTCACAAGATTGAGGCAAGTTCGCAGCAAATTCGTAAAAACAGATTCGGTTTGAATAGGGAGCTGGTTTCTGCACTGCAGTTTCCGGCCAGGCATCAAGCTCTGCACCTCGGCGGACTTGCCCAAATCCCAGATCGCCCCCCAAAGGAGCCATCAAGTGCAGCTTTGAATGTTAGCAAAAAAGCGAGATAATTATGAGAATGGGATTTCTGAACAAAGCAACTTCTCAGACAGTTTTGTGAATCGCTTAGGTTCCCACAATGGGCCGGAGTATTGCACCTGAAGTCATGCTCATTTTGTTTGGAGCTTGGAAGCTAAAGCAGTGTCCCAAAGGCATGTAGAGGTGACAGCAACAGCAACAGTATATTATTCAGGATGTTCTCCAATCCGAGGTGACATCGAATTCAAGATCGTTGTTTGCAGGATCTCCTGTGATGCCGCAATCTTAAAGCTTTGGGTGTTCTTCCCTTAACACCATTGCCTCTCCAATCCTAAAAGGCAAGTGCTGTATTGACTAGCTACCTCTTTTACAGTCGAACGGTGGAACAGCGGAACCATTAACCTTTTCTGAGGAGTGGGAGGGCACCCAAAATCGTCGTCTAAGCCAAGACCCTAGTTTCGGAAGATGGACATCACCAAGAATTGCTGGATTTATCCTCAAGTGGCAGTTGCCGTATGAAGACGAGCCAGATGAATGCAAGATACTTCATTCCTGGTGCTTCAGGATCTATTCACAAGATTGTATTGTCAAAATTTGTCAAAGCTATTGAAGTAGAAGCCTCCCACGCGACGCCGCATCATCTTGCATTGGCTGGGGCAGGCATGCCAGGTGACGATCTAGAAGGCCCTTGGGAGGCAAGAGCAAATTTGCCAATAACGTCTGAGAGCTTGACTCATTGACCTTTGATAAAGATAGTTTCTTTTGCAGGCATTCTTGAGCTTCAACGTGAACGGCTGCAGAATCGCAAAGTTCAGGTGGAAGTGCTGACACAGCAGCTGTTTTGTCGCGTGATGTTGCTGCCCAGGACTACTCCGGTGAACTTACAGCAGACGAGCCCCTTTGGGTGCAGTCGAGTGATATCGAGGCGTCATGAACGGCTTGTCAATCCGCCGCTTTCTCCTAGTAGCGATGCCCTTGGCTCCTAGTAGCGATGCCCTTGGCTCCTAGTAGCGATGCCCTTTGCTCTGGAACATTGTCATTATTGAAATTTTACCGCTTCACAACACCCAGGTGAGGATTTAGATGAATTTTATGATTGAGTAAAGGAGAACGGGGATGATCAGGAGATGTTTCACCCATTGGGGGTGTTCTTTGTTATTGTTGTTTGTATGATATATATACATTCTTCTTATTTTTGAAGGGGGGTAGGCCGCTAGAGGTAGGTAGGTAGGTACGTAGCCAGCTAGTAGGCAGAGGTAGCTAGTAGTAGCTAGGTAGCTACTAGTATGGACGCATGAGCTCGCGCTTCTTTAAGGAAGCTCTGCTCCGACCGTGGCGGGGGAAGCTTCCTTGAAGAAGCGCTCGCGCTCATGATTTGGTTCCTAGATTTTTAGGGAAACTTAACTTAATGTGATGCATCGATACCATTGATGTGATGCATCCAAGGTATGGAAAGCCCCGACGACGTCAAGTTTGCCCTCAAGCAACAGCCTCAACTGCACGAGGGCGTTCCATTTCACACCAGAAACAGTATAGGATGATATAGGTGGGTGGGGCCCTTGCTGCATTGCTCAGCCTGACTCATACGCATTTATGAAGTTGTCTCAGAAATTGCTCTTGGGGTTCCGTACTGGCATGAGCAAGTAAGAAGATGTAAGAAGTAGGGAAGGTGAAAAAGAGGTTTCTGATTTCTGGGCCATTACAAGTTATTCGACCATTCATGATAGTTCTCTTTATTCCTCCTGTTGTGCCCATGGTTGAGCTCAGGACAAACATGATCGACATTGCCAGAGTCCCAGTGTTCGGAGAAGCACGCTGGAGAGATGTGAGTTTTCAGGGTCTCTCGCCTGTACCATGCCCACTGCGGGGATTCAGATGATGCTCAACAATTCGCCATGGGTTCAATGCGCAGTTTTCAATCATGCAACTGGTGCATCATCACGCTGGCTTGCAGACTGCTGTCTACAAAGCAGTTTGTTCATTTTCGTTCATGGCAGAGGCTGGCTGTATAACTTGAGAAAGTCAATGCACACCGTACTGGCAGGAGGAGAATAACGAACAACATATGAGAGTCATGAGGACCTAACTAAACCCGCAAATCGCGGTGGGACATCTTTGGAATCAGGTCGAACCAGAAACGGGGCGACGAGAGCGACGAGCGAGGCGAGCAACATCTGAAAGGGTGGCTGGTGGCAGGCATGTTTTGAATGTATTTATCTTCTGAGGCGTCCTTTCTAATTCTTTTTTGACCACACCATCTTTTTTTGCTCAACCTATACTCCATTTTCCCACGCACTTTGACCATCCCAGACCAATAAGTTTTGCTTGACGTGTGATGACGTGTGTGAGTGCGCTTAGGCGCAGCACCTCGCTCAGCCTCCTCGCGCCTCGCGAGCAACCACCCCTCGTTGCTGAGACATGGGTGCAGGGAGCCCGGATCATGTTGAACAACTTTTTGTAGCATGCATGCATGTGCATGCATGTCCATTATATGGCTTTGGGAAAATTGTATGTACTTCAACGCACTTGGCCTACGTCAATTTGTCCTCAATATATGTGTACATATATTTACATAGTTACATAGATATATATACTTTTTTTTTGCAGGTTGCATGCTGTTGTATGTTCATTTACTAAGCCCAAGGCCCACCCTTGTCTGAGGCGGTGCCGCAATGATCGGGAGGAGGCAGTAGCTGGGCCACCCCTGAAAGAGTTGTGGCCCGAGATCGGAAAGTTGGAAGTCATTAAGAATGCTTCCTAAATTTTGCCAGTACATGGAGTTCATTTCTTGTCATTGTTGCCTGTTCAGCCCGGTTTATCCCAAAACTGTGGGGCGCATCATTTTGCACCTCTCCTAGGCCGTAGTTTTCCTTTGCTGAAGCTTCACTTTGCCCATGATAACTCTCAGGCACCTTTTGATGCTCAAATTGAAGGGCATCCCACAGTCAGAGGCTCGGAAGCTCTTCGTGGAACTTGTCTTCGAGGCGGGGCCTTCCCCTCTACAGGACACAAGTCAGATTTGTTTTGTTGCAGTTTTCCTATGTTTTCTCCAAAGCATCAGCCTCAACCGTTCTATTTGTTGCAGGCCAAGTCGCAGAGACCCATTGTTCCGCTCGACATGTCCTCGTTCGACAACGACGAGCTGCAGGTCAATGGAAGCAATTACCAGAATGATTCTGTGGGGTAAACAAGGGCGTACCAGTTTACGAGAGTCTTCGGTGCAGGCCGCATGGTCTGTGGCAATCCCAGCGGTGGAGCTACCAGTGGGGACGAATTATTTCCACTTTCGGGTCAATGGCGCCAGGGGCCGAGGACTTCCATTTGATCCACCTCGGAAGGTTGAAGCCGTGCGTTGCAAGAACACGTAAACACGATGTCACACACACACACGGTTTTAACGAATTGTGACGGCACTGTTTGAAAATCGCCAAAGTGGCCTGAACATTGCCCGATTTGGGAGGAGCCTTTCCATAAATCCATGTGAATTGACTGTTTTCTTTCACATGGCCCAGGTCTTTACTCTCTCACTGGAGCACAACCGGGTTGGAAAATGGAACGCCGTCTACAACAGCGACTCGATTCGCTTGGCTCTCATGAGCATTCCTTTGGATAGACTTGAAGGGCTACAGGTGCCGGAATCTTCATTTTTGGGGGACTTGTTACTTGTAGCTTCTAGCTACGGGTAGTAAGGTGTCTTGCTACTAGTAGCTTCTTGCTACTAATAGCGATGCACTTGTTACTAATAGCGATGCACCTGCTACTAATAGCGATACACCTGCTACTACAAGCAATGCACCTGCTACTGATAGCGACGCACCTGCTACTAGTAGCGTTGCGCCTGCTACCACTAGCGATGCACCTGCTACTAACAGCGCTGCGCCTGCTACTAATAGCGATGCACCTGCTACTAATAGCGATGCACCTGCTACTAATAGCGAGGCACCTGCTACTAATAGCGATGCACCTGCTACTAGTAGCGATGCACCTGCTACTAATAGCGATGCACTTGTTACTGGTAGCGAGGCACCTGCTACAAATAGCGATGCACTGCACCTAGCACGCACCTGCTACTAATAGCGATGCACGTGTTGCTAATGGCGATGCAGCTGCTACTAATGGATCTAATAGCGAGGCACTTGTTACCAGTAGCGAGGCACCTGCTACTAATAGTGATGCACTGCACCTGACACTAATAGCGATGCACCTGCTACTAATAGA